CTGAGGGGCTGCCTTCTGAGGTTTGTGCCTCCTCTTGGTTAAGGCTGGGGAAGGCTTTGGAGGAAGACTGGAAAACTGAAGGCAAGTAGAAGGCAGGATGTTTCTTCTCTGCTCTCTCTAACTCAGGCAGTATCTCTGACAACAGTCGTGTCTCCCCATGTGGCTTCAGCTCCTGCTGGAGGTACCATGAGCTTTCAGCTTCTGCTGAGTGACCTTGACTGACCTTGACTCCTGGGCTCCAGTGGGGACACTTCCATGCCCATCGCAACAAACTAGAGGTTTACTGCATCACTGAATGCCTTGTGCGCTCCTGTTTAACTTCACATCTTTTCATTCACCTTAAATACTAAGACTGGGGTATATTTTTTTGGATGAACCTTAACTGATGTAGCTGGTGTTTGGTGGCTATTTGTTGAATTTTATTACTTAATTTTAAACCATCTACCTAACAGATGTAGGTATTTCTTTTTTAAGTTCAACAGGGGTAAGTCCAGTATCCGTTATTTAGTACATAATAATATTACTTGGTGTTACCAGGAGTAGTAACAAACTACCCCTAAACTCAACAGTTTTAAACATTTAGCGTGTATTAGCTCACGAGTCTAAGGGTTGGGTAGGTGGTTCTTCCAGCTCTGGATGGGCTTACTCATGCATTTGTGGTCAGCTGTGTGTCAGCTGGGTGACTCTCTTCATCTTGGCTGGCTTTCTCGTATCTACAGGGCTTGGCTGGTCTAGGCTGACCTAGAGTGGCCTTGGTGAAGACAAGTGATATGAGTCAACTCCACTATAGATTTCTCAGCCGTAACAGGCTAGTTCAGGCATGTTCTCTTGGTAACCACAGGAAAGCAAGACAAAAAACTTAAACACATAATTTTTTCAAACTTCTGTATGCAGCATATCTGATTACGTTCCATTGTCCAAAGCAAGTCACATGGCCAAAAACAGAATCAAAGGGGACAGGAAAATAGATGCAATCTTCTCACTGAGAGGAACAGCAAGGTTGCATGATAAAAGGGTGGATGCAGGGAGGAATAAAGCCTTGTGCCTATTGCTAACAATACTACATTGTATACTGAAAATTTTGCTAAGAGGGCAGGTTAAGTAGGAAAGGAAGGAAGGAGGGGGAGGGAGAAAGGCAGAATTAGAAAAAAAAATCTGTACTGGCAAAGCTTCCAAAAGCACAGCCAAAAGAAAAAGAATGTGTTTCTCTAGAAGACATAATGCATTGACTCATCAATAAACATAGATGTTTTGGCACAATAATCAAGTAACTGAGGTGAAAGCTATGTTGATTGGTTAAATGTAATCACGTTAGATTGTATAAAAAATAAATCAGCACATTGTACCCCACATATGCATGAATGTATCCAAAATCTATGTGTATTTGACTTAATAAAAAAATAAAAAATAAAAAATATCTATCAACCTAGTCAAGAAAATGAGGAAATTGTTGGAAGGAAGGTAAGAAGGAAGGATGGAAAAAAAGAAGAGAAAAAGAAAGGAAATTTCACAGAATAAGAAATACAAATAACTTTTAAACATGTGAAAAGATTCTCAATTTTATTTGCCCCAAGACATATATGAATTCCAATTAGGATTCCACTTATCTGCTGTCAAGTAGATAACAGTAATGTTCACTGACAATGAATTAGCAAAGGTACAGAAAAACAAGGCTGTTAGACAGAATATAGATTGAAACAAACTCTATGGAGTCTAATTTGGAAATGTCAATCAAAATGTTTTTGTAAAGAATACATTTCCATTGAATGGGAAGTTCTGTTTCTTAAGATTTGTTGTATATATTAGAGTCGTCTTGAAAGTGTCCAGCCATGGAAGATGAAACATAGAGATAATGTGACTCATTACTTTCTGGACAGCTCTTATATCAACTTACCCATGTGAGAGCAGGCACTTGTGCAAGGTTATGCATTGTACTCCTATTTGAAATAGCAGAAGAAAAGACTTTACTGGCTTTCAATAAGTGTGATTATGATTTAATGATAGAAGGGGAAACCATGGAACTATCAAAATAAAATTATAAATGACAGAGTAAGCACTTAAAAAAGAAGAGGATGTAGGCCATTAATATGATACAATCAGTCTGGCTCAGGCTCCATAGACTTGATGAGAGATAGGAGACTAATTATAGCTAGATTAATAAATAGATAGAATTAATTTTTGCCATAGTATTAACCGGTTAAAATTCAATTTAATTTTATTTAAATTTAACCCTTTAAAAACCCTGCCATAAGATATGCATTGTGCATTTTCTAGGTTGTTCTATGCAATTTTACTGGTACAAAGTTACTGTCAAAAAAATAGACTTAGTAAAGAGCCGTTTATAAATAACATATTAATAAACCAAGTTAAAGGCACTTTATTTATCCTTTAACCTTCAATTTGCATTAATTGGGAGCAGTCATGGGAAAGAGTGCCAACTTCACTTCGGGTCAGATGGCTTAAGAAAATGAACTGTTTCATGCCCAGAAATAAATGTATTCCAAATATAAATATGAATCAGTTACAAAACAGATTCTTTTGAAACTACAAAATAACCGCACTGTTAATATATTTGTGCCCCAATTAAAAATGTGTCAGGAACACACATTCTGAGCTAAAGTTGTCCCAGGGAGTGAGTCTCATTTTTGCTTTGAGTCTTGTGTAAATGAAACGGGGCAGTCTCCTTTGAGGCCACAAGCAAATTCACAGCTCCCTGTTTTCTAAAGAGAAGAAGAATTAAAGATGGCTGTATTTAAATTGGACGTGTTTGAGCCTTGGCCTTGCTGCTTTAAATTTCCTTCATCCCAAGGAAATCACTTTGAATTTGTCCACTGAAGAACTCTGGTTTGGGTTGTTCTCATTGGGTTCTCACACCATGGAAAAGCTGCCATGTGTTTGGATTACAGCAAAGTTGGGAAGCCGCCTCGGTGATGCTGTGTGCCAGCTCTCTTCTCAGCAGTGTTATCTTTAAAACTTGAACCTGCTCTTAATCATTCAGAACAAGACCCCTGACATCAGATGGACCGGGTGCAATTCCTGGCGAGCCTCTTCACTGTTTGACTTTGGGAAAAATGTTTAACTGTTCCCTCATCTCCTTCCCATTGTTAATAATAATGGGATTATTATGAATACTTACCTCAGGTGATCATTGTGAGGGTTACATTATGTGAAATGAAGTAAAATAATTCGCACAGTTCAGCCCATAAAATGTGCTTAATAAATGTTACATATAAAAATACTTATTCTGTTTATTACTAATTACATGAGAAATTTTAGGTATTTATAGAGTCGTGTGAATAAGTCCTCTTCAGGATTATACACTCAAAAAATTCCAATATCGTTTTTATGCAAAAGGCACTGTCTTTAGATATTAATGTCAGGGATATGGGTGTATATTTACACATAACTGCCATAAAACCATAATAACAGTTACAAACACAAATTTTTTCCTGGCTGTGTTAATTTAGTCTTTGAGAATGCCTTTAGAATGTACTTCCTAAGTGCCCTGGTCTTCAGCCTCCCACTACCTGAGTTTCTGATTGTCTAGCAATCAGTGAGATGAAGTTCAAGATATTAGATTTGAAGGTTTATGAAATGAGCAGTGAAGAAAGATTTTGAAGAAAACAAGATAAATGCAATGCCACAGTCTTCCTTCATCTAGTTTTGAAAAGGAGGAAAATTACTAATAAGAAAAGTCCCTTTTTAATAAGTATGTCTTGCCTTTCAACATACTGAGTCTCCACTCTGCATGGAATCTTGGAGTGGAAGAGCCACGGTCCACACAATGCAAGGTAGCGTCTTCTGAAGCTCAGAATAGAAGAAAAGATTTCATATGCACACATACGTATGCATGCCCACACAAAACCAGCAACCACTTTAATGACTTAACAAGTGCATTTATGGTGCCATAAACATAGGGAAAAGCCAATGACTGATGGTGTATTTACTCCAGGCGGCAGTTAAAGGGATGCACTGTTACAGATCAGCATGGTGAGAGCTCACGTTCATAAGTTGAGTTACAAACGTAGAATAAGGGAAATTAAAACACATTGTTCCTTGTCCTGGATACACATTTATGCATGTGAATGTAAAACAAACATTATTATCCGGAAAGACATAAACTAATTCATGGTCTAGGCTTAGTGTAGAGTTGTCAAGGAGATTATAGCTATATTTGGTTTTCTCTAATAAGAAGAGCAGATATGGCAAAATGCTAACAATGGTCCATTCTGGGTAGTGGGAACCTGGATCTTTGTTCCACTAACCTCCAGTTTTCTATAATTTCTAAGTTCCCCACAACAACCAAAATTGCGGGTCCACAGTTAGTTGAAAAGCAGCTTTTTGCTTGTTGTGCAAACAGAGACTTGGAGACATCCTCTGTGCTGTGAGAAGATGCCATGGTCTGTTCGGCCACCATTCTCATCTGGTTTATAGCTATGCGAAGTGTTCTGGACATGATTGCACTTAATGCAATCTAGATCAATCTAGATAGCTCTGCAGCTTCATGCTTGGGTGCGTCCCATGATGAAAAACTTGCCGTGTCACCCCTGGGTTTCCTATGGCTCAGTTGCAGGTTTTTATATTTTTATTCTGGGAACCATTCTCTGAGCTGAAGCTAGACTCTCTTTAGCACAAGATATCTACATGGTTTGAGATTCACATTGGCCTTTTAGTCATCTTTCCAGGCTGGGAATCCAAAGCTCTTGGGTCTTATCCCTGAAACTCCACAGAAAAGTAGGTCTTTGGGATTCACAAAAGTTGTCCCGTCCCTAGAAAGTGTCATTATAGTCCCTGTGTCAAGGTCCTTTTCCCTGAAACCATCTCCCCTTTAGAATGAGATTTATCTAAGTCTATTTGCATTTATTCAAAATCAGAGACAGCTCTGAAACCAGACCCTATTTAAACACAGAAATAAGAGCAGTTGCAGTTTAATCAAATGTTTGGGGAACTTTAAAACAACAACAACTTATATTTATCTTCTTGTGTTTCCTTTTTTCCAGATCTGCAGTTTCCCTCCTGGTGGCCATCCTGCATGGGTGCCAAGTTCCACACGGGAGTTAATGAATAAGAAGGTCAGATGCGGGGCTTGACTTGACTCTTTGCAGACTCGTCACTTTGCTATGCACTGTCCCTGTTTAGCACTTTAGGAACTATCTTCTAATTTGCGGTGTTGCTGCTGCTGTTATTTAACATAGTTCTGAACTCTGTGCAAAGAAATATGAGACATTAAATGGGCTTTAAAAACATGATGGAGAAGAAGAATGCTACAGATTCACTCAGGGAAAGAAGGCTGACGGGTGAGAGGCAGGAGTCTGTTTCTCAGCTGTGCTCGGTAAAGATCCAACAATCCTATCCCACGTGTCTTTTTCCTGGAGAACGGAAGAGTGTAATAATTAGATAAATCAGAGTGCGGGCACCCGGGCAGTAATGGTCCACTTTCTTTGCTGTCAAATCTTCTGAATTCTCCTTTTGGCCCCTAGGTGTTTGGTATTATCAACCAGACTATTTGGATCACTGGTTTATAATTTGGAATCCAATGTGTTTGCATTATTGTAACAACACAGATTCAGTTTGCCTCCGTATTTTAAGGTGGTGTCAGCACTTTACTTTCTGTGTTTATTATTTTTAGCAGTGTAAAAGCGAAACCAGGAAAAAATGGCTTTCTGCCGATAAGGGGACATTCAGGCTTGGCCAGGGTCTGGGGGAGTCTATGGAAATGCTCACTGGCTGCTGGAGTCGGGGCCTTTGAATGCTGTCTTTGTGCCTCCCTTTGCCCATGGCCTCTGGCCTACTGTCTAGGCGCCTCGGCTGGAGTAGTGCTATCTGATTGTGACCAGTACTAGTGTTACAGAGCTCCGTGCCCAGGCCCTCCCTCGGGGCCCCAGTCTGGCTGCCTCTGTCTCCCAGCCCTCCCTTGAGGGGACCAGTCACAGCTCTCATATCAGAAAATACTATTTGTAATTTATAGAATGTTCAAAGAAAGGGATCGCTAAGAATCTTCAAGACCTATGATTTTCTCTTTCTCTCTCTCTAAACAAATAACTCACCCCTTTTCCCAAGTCAAATCTTACAGTGGACCACAATGTGCAACACATAGAGAAGGATAGCTGTTCTGTTTGAATTTGAGAAGGCCCGTGCCAGCCCCATTCCTCAGCCTCTTCTTCTTCATATCCCCGCAGTCAAAGTGACCTGGGAGGTCCTCCCTTCCTATCGGGAAACCTAGGGCATCTCTCAATACTTGCACGCTATTCTTGCAAGGCAGTCCCCACAATTTACAGATAAAGAAACTAAAGGGAGATTTCTATAGATGCTCAAAACCGGAGGCATTAGCCACAAAAGAGGGCGTCCTGTATTCATCCATTTTTACATAGTTCTCGAAAAGGATTAACTAATCTGCAGTGATAAGAATCAAAATAGTGATTACCTCCAGGAGACGAGGGGGTTGACTGACAGGGAGTGTGATGGAATTTTCCACAGTGCTAGAAATATTATATATCTTTCTAGGATGTGTGGGCTACATACCTTTCCCCAAACTCATCTGTGCATTTTACTCTAGTAAAAGGGAAGCTATACTTCCATTAAAAATAAAAAAGCAAAGATAGAGGCAAAGCAAAAAATACATTAGGCATTTAGTGATTGGAAATTCTGTAGCCAGATGTTTGATTTTGATGAACTTTCTTGAAGTTATGAGGGCTATTCATTGAGTCAGGTCTAAAGTCATTGTGCGAAGTTTCTGAAGATCAATAACCCTCCTTTTCTTCCAAGACTATCATTGTTCAGTAATCACCAAAAAGAGAAAAAATATATCAGTAAATTTCAGACAGTGGAACCATTGAATACACTTTGGAATCTTTAAGCTTATAATGTGGTTACTGTGTGATATGTGGAGGTGCTTTTTTGAGACAGAGTCTCAAGCTGTCGCCCTGGGCAGACTGCCATGGCATCACAACTCACAGCAACCTCAAACTCTTGGGCTTAAGCAATTCTTTTGCCTCAGTCTCCTGAGTAGCTGGGACTACAGGTGCCCACCACAATGCCCAGCTAAACATGGGGGTTCTGAGAGCAGAGATGCACGACGTTTGATTCTACTGACCCGGGAGGCCAAGAATCTTGCCCCCTCCACTGTGTAGCAGCTGGAGTGCCAGGAGCCTTGGAGAGGCACCACTTTCCACGTGGGGTCCTCTGAGATTTCAGGGGCATTGAGAAGCCCCTTAAAGGCCTCTACTGGGAGGAATCCTGGTGTGTGGGAACAATCGAGTTTACCCACCCACACAGCTTGACTTTTGTCTGCTTAGATATTGGGCTTCTTCATCAGAGTTCACGTATATAAAGAATTCTACAGGTGAAAAATATATGACAAACATTATACATATTATATGTCCATTCTGGTGTATATGATTTCCTTAGTCACTCAGATGACATGGAATTCTACTCCTTAACCACACTGAGCTTTTGCCTCCTAAGCTTTGTGCTGAAAGACAGGGTCTAGGACTGGCACACTCTGGACTGTTTGCAGAGTGACACTGATCTGGACTCATCCTGAGAGTTACGGATAGTCTTGACTTCCACCACCCTTCCCTACAAGAAAGGTCCTTCTCAAGCCTCTTTCCAGAATTTTGATGCAATCAGAGATATTGTAAAAAAGAAAAAAAAACAAACAAACATAAGTTTGGGGGCCTCTGGAGGTGCCAGGCAAGTATGTGTTCATTGTTGGTTGTCTATCCAATGCCAAATTGATCATCACCTAAAGAAATGAGATGCCAGAGAGAGACCCTTTCCTGCAGAGGCCCCAGAAGATGCCATTTTCTTAAATTTGGGATTGCATCTTGCCCAATTATCTCTTTTTCACAGATAAAAACCTCATTTTTGTCATGCATTAGTTTGACATGCACTATTCATAATGCTCATCAAATTTTTCATAATTTTTTAATTCTTTGCTCCTACTCATCCACATACTTTTTAAATGATCTATAAAATGTAAGATTCTTTCCATCCGAGTGGAACTTGTGAAGGCTGAGGTTGAAAGGCAGGTGATATCAGTCTTTCTCCTTTCAGCAAATAGCCATTCCTGTCAAGTGACTGGCCTTCTCTCTATATCTTTGCAGTGGGGCATTTTGACCCTCCAAACACCACTTTCCCCACCCTAAAATACTTTGAAATAACATTATTTAAATTTTTCCTATTCATATGTTTTAGAAGTCAGGCAGTAAAGTAGAAGGTAATTATTGTGGTTCAGATATAGCAAAGGACATAGGCAGGGCAGATGCAATCCTGGGGCCAACTCTGTCTCTTAGAGTCTGGTGGAAAAAATGGTGCAGGAAGAAAAATGTTTCTGGAAAGGAAATGATGACAGTGTTAGAAATGGCAGGAAAGGATCGTGTGGAGCCTACGAAGGAAGGATTTGAAGGTGCTTACATGTTCCAGCCTTTGAGGCTGTATTATTTTTCTTCAGAAAAGACAAACTGTCTACTTACTTGAGTGATTTCCCCACAAAGGGCCAAAGCCTATTTCACTCACAACAAGGATCCACATTAATGCAAATTTAGTTCACTAATGAAACTGTGGTAAAACTGAATCATCTGTAGAAAAGAACATTTTAAATAACCAGGACATTTTTTAACCCACACAAACCATGCTTTGCCTGCAAATGCACGCAAATTTCCTAATCAAACCAAATTTAATTTAGCAAGAGAATTTTTTTTTCCTCCAAACCGGTTTAGTTTAATGTGCATGAGAGCAGAAATGAAATTACACAATGTAAGAGTCTGAGCCGAATTTGCCTTTCTGCAATTCCATTTGAAAGGACTTGTTTCAAGTCATTAAGAGTCAACTAAACCAAATGGAAAATACCAGGACACAAATTATATGCATTCTCCATTCCAGTAAATTTGGGCAAGTGATCTTTCTGGAGCCAACCTTCATGAAGCTTCTTTCTTTGCTTGCTTGCTTTTTCTTTCTTTCCTTCTTTCTTTCTTTATTGATCAAATGGATAATGCAACATATGTGTATAGTCAGATTTCAATTATTCATAAGAATGAAAAGGAGAATACAATGTCAATAATTGAAGTCCAATCTATTGACATTTTCTTCCCATTGACTATTTTTTGAGCTGCAACCTGGACCTTTTCAACCACCAAACTGCTTGCCAGAGTAGTTTATAAGTGAGAAAACCTCCTGGTTTGAGTTTTATCTCCTTTTCTTTCCCCCACTTCCTCTGTTGGTACTGTTGAGTTATTAACCACTAAAAAGGCAAATAGCAAATACATTAATGTGCATATTATATTCATTCTTGGTTTCCAGACAAGGAAAGTAAGGGCAAAATGATTAGGAACAATGCCTTGTCACACTGGCAGGGCTGGGCTTTCATTCAGATCTTTCTATCTGCAAGCATCTGTTCTTTAGAATAGCAGCCGTGGATCATAACTTCTCAACACATTACATTGGCTGAGTTGGAGAAACAGCTAAATTTGTAAAGAGAATTAACTAACTATTATTTTGAGCCTGTCTATGACAGAAAACCATAAATAACAGCAACTTAAATACACAAAAGTTTGTTTTTCTCTCCAGATCAGGGGGAGGGTCCTACAATCATCAAGAACTCAGTACCTTATCTATCATTCTACCTTGCTATTCTTAGCATATGACTTTATCCCCAATGTTCCCTCATGGTTCAAGATGACTGCTGGGGTCCTAGCCTTCATGTATAAATTCTAGGCAACAGGAAAGATGGGAGAAAGAGAGTAAAAGACACCCATTACCTGCTATGTGTTTCATCTTTAGGGGGCTTTACCAGGGTACCCGTCCAACACTGTCTACCTACAGTTTCATCTACTGTCTCCTAGTTGCAAAGGTAGCAGAGTGTCCTGCCACTCAGAATAAAGTGGGACTTGGTTATGAGGAATATTGTGGAGGCATCTAGCAGACCTGGTCACAATCAAGCAACTACTGGGGGCTCCCCAATTATGGAAAGGAATGGTCAGGGCGTACCTTAGAGAGACTGATCTTGTATCAATAGCCAAGAGCATGAGGGAGTAAAAATAGAAGGAATGAAATGTAGTTTTGAGGACTTGGC